GAGCTCCATATTCGCGTGTTTCGCGCGACGGAACCGCGTGGACCTGCTACTCCTATTATCGCAATGATATCGCGATCAATCGAACGCGGGGGCACGGGGGCCACGGGTGGGCCTGGAAGGGGGCACGGCGCAAATAAATGTATCTGCCGGCCGGCGGGCGGATAAATACGCAAATAATACGAAACTACAAAAATCAAAACCCATCCGCCACTCCGCTGCAATGAAACCGATTGTTCGTATGCTCTACTTCGAAAATTTTAATTTAAATATTCTTATTTTATTTTTCAGTACTAATTTTCTAAAAATAAAATAGCTGATCATGAGATTGCATCATAATGCGGTTTTCGCGTAATTTGGAGTTCCAAATAAACTGTGTAACTCCCCTGAGCGGTCTGTGACCTCTTTTTCAATCTGTTGGTAACATTTGGATTATTTTAATTAAATGCTAAAACTAATGCACCGTTAGATTCTCATAATGTTAAACCTATCATTGTTGCAGATGTTAGATACATCTTTAGAAAGCGTAGGTACTGCCAATCTACACTATTCGGGTTATAAACATATTTATTACTATGCTTTCATTTACATACAGACAAAATAAAATATTAGTAAGTAGAGCAACATGCGGAGCTCATATGCGGCCCGCGAGACCATTATCAAGCCTATAGCTATTTGCCCCGAAAAACAAACTCTCGCGGGATGTGCGGGGTGGCGGGGCTCGCGGGGGCAGCGGGGCGAGTCGGGGCGGGGGCGGGGGGCACAATGCAGCCAACTGCGCGATCACAACACCCCCTCCCGCATTTGCATTTGTACCGTATGCAGCTGCGAACGCATCGGCTTTGATTTTGACTGCCGTAAATATAAATTGATGTACAATTTTTTAATATTAATGATCGCATACGGCCGTATAAAAGTTTTTTATGAATATGAAATTTTACGTATGAAGTGAAAAGAGCCGCGTGTATTTACGTAGTCAAATTCAGTACGGACGCAGTGTTTCGTCGGGATTGCTATTCAATGTATGAAGTAAATAAAACTCTAATGAAGATTATTTAAAGGTTTTATTAAAAAGTATAATATAATATATCATTTATATGCATTTATGGAACGATTATTTACAAAGTATTACCAAAATTAGACGAAAATGTAAGTAACGTACATTTGTTACGAATATAACATGACAATTTCCGCAATGAAAGAGTTCGAAACTTGTTTAATCACTGCTATTTCAAGTATCGACTAAAGACTAATAATAGACAAAATCTGGTCTACGAGTCTACAACCAATAAAACGACGGTTATACATTTGTTTGTTCAGGCGATCCACAAAAAGCTACTCTAATAATAAAGACAAGCACGAATCATCCTGAATAAATGAAAAGACGCCGATTGTAATTGACGTTCAACATGCTCGTGCGACGGAGCGCGACTGGTCTGTCGTGTCCGCGTGTGTCGCTCGTGTGAACGTCACTGATGATTTGGTTTATCTATATACGAGTCAATTAAATTCTTTATTTGTTTAGAGAAAAATAAACTTTGTTATATTTACTTTTGCTGATTCATAAAATATCTGTTACAAATCCTTCTATATTACACTAATAAAGGTGTTTGTTACATTTTAGGGCCCAGTATACGATACTGCATAAACCCGACTCTAATTAAGATAATCAAAGGTTGAATTAGGCCAGCCTACCTGATGACACAAGCTTTGTTACTTAAAAAATAATTACTATAATATTTCTTACGATTGTAATCGCTACAAACAATTATTTGAATTTTAGCAACATCTAAACTCAACCCCACCACTTCCCCCGCACTATTTCAATTACAAAGGATATACATAGAAGCCGCAGCGACATAAAATTGTCAGCTTAAAAATTTATCTATCCGCGTTGCAACGCGAGCCATAACGTGTTGGTTATGGCCGAAAAAAAGTGCGAGAAAACATTGGATTGCATAGAAGTGTAATTATTTGGCAGCCCACGACATGTGCCTTCTATACTTTTGCATAATAAAATGATAGCAGTGTTTATGCCCTTATATTGAGAGTGACATCTAAGTTTACTTTTAAAAATTCAATTTATTCTAGGATGAAAATTACGACTCTACGTCGAAAACTAGACATATATTTAAATGTTTGGTGCATGGACCTGAGTGCATATTTCCCAAAAACGTTTGCTATAACACAAATGAACATAGGTAGAGTCGATCACTCTGTATCAGTCTCAATTAGGTCTGACGTAGCATAAGCAAAATCAGTGTACCTACTCCCGTATGTCATATAAACATGTATGTTACATGAACACAAATAGTCCATAAACCCGCATCCCTCTCCACAATATTCAATAAAGCGTCGAGCAAACAAACATAAATCTGGACGCTTTTACGTTCGTTGTCCCAAATTATGTCATCAAACGGCACCTCGGGGCGCTACCACCCGGCTGAGGCGCTTCAACAAATTTCCATACAAATCGTTTCGCCACGCCGGCAGTCACACTTCATAAATTTTAATTTTAATATTTCGCTTTCGCCCCTGCCCCTGTGTTGTCACTCGCCGTTAATATCTTCATATTTTTCTTTCAATTAAAGGTCATGAACTTTGATAGTTCGACAAACAGATACAGTTGCGATTTCAACCTTATACTGATTCTGTTGCAATTTTTAAGAGACTTAGAACAAAATGTGCACAAACTTCAAATTCAAAATTAAAAAAAAACGGTTGTTCAAAACGTCTTTATTTTCTTGACTCCCCAGTTCATTTTCTGTGAGGCTATAAGCCGCGTGCACACAAGCAATAACGCAGATAAGCCGACGCGATGGAGACGCTATCTCCACCTTATTGCTATGTAAATAACCTCCATTGAATCCCACTGATCGTTCAGATACGCCGCCGCTGTGGCAGCGTCTTTATGCTCATTTCATTACTGTCCGTCTTCCTAAACGCATAAACAATGTACATTTGTGTGGAATTGAGTCATTCTATCCTAATGCAATTACACCATGAATCTTTATTTAAGGGATTGAAGATCTTCGACTACGTTACTATTGACAGGACGGCATTGCATAGGTACTATTAACTGTATGTGACGATCCTTCGACATAGTTATTCCATTTAACTTTAATTTAACAAGAAAATCGCCTTTTTCCGTAACTTATTCCGCGCGGAATTAAAAGCGTAGTAAGTAACTTATGTGTTCTTCCAGACAACGTTTGACTTAATACCGAAGAGAGATCTTTTTAATTGTCTTGGAGATGCGTAAAAAGAAACATCCCTCTAAACTTTCGCATTTATAATAGTTATTAATAAAAATGATAAGAAGTAGTTCAATTGAGTTTCGCAAACATATTTAAGCCCCCATCTCCCTGAAGTATTTGTGCAAACGCATATTATCTTGTAAAAGTATACTATTTATGATTTAAGATAGGAAAGATAAAACCGTATCATTTGCTTAAAAAATCCCCATGAAATTAAACAACGCAACAATAAACCGGAATAGTGTTGGCAAAAACATCGCGACAAAGCTCCCCAATTTTTTTACGTCCGCATTATGGGATCATCCGTCATTGTGCTGGCGGCGTATAGATGGCACTGATAAGGATACGCATCGCTTTATTAAAATAATTCAACCAGTATACGTGGACCCCTACACTTTAATACAACGATCAGCTATCAATAAGTCTGCCAGTAAACAGGTGAGGTCGATTTAAACTGGCTGCATGTACGAATCACTATCATGCGTTCCAATCTGAGGGTTTCATTCAGCAACTAGTAATGTTCACTGATACGAGATATTTAATACCTTCCCACGAGGACTTGCGCACACGCGCGCCTCTTCCCACGAAATATATGCACTCTGAGGTACGAAATACATGTTAACTATTCATACAGAGCACCCTCGTTTACTCGTCGAATTCAATTAGCAATAGTCCGTCAATAATATTACTTTATCATTAAACTATACTGCTATTCACACTGAAGTCTTTAATTTATACAAGCTTCAAGGCTGATCTTACAAAGTTACTAATATTATAAATGCAATAGTTAAAATAGGATGGATGTTTGTTAGAATTTGTAGCTTTTACAAATATATGTATGTTCGAATCCTTGCAACTTATGTCAGTGGTTTATAAAACAAAAGTAGTACTTAATACATTTTTTTATGAAATTAACCGTCTTAATTACTTTGAGTAGGGTAGTCTTATAATCTGTACATAAAATTAGATACATAGATGTATGTATAGCTGCGGGATGTAAATGCCACGCTTCGAACATTTATTAAAAGTTACAGGGGTTGTAGGGCAGCCGCACGAGCCCTAATTAAGCCTCTTTTTACAAAAGGGCTGATGCGTCGGAGGGTCTACACTTTTTACCCTTCCGACTCCTTAATGAGCTGTTGTCGGCCACCTATAGCCGCTTTAAGGGCACGAGGGCTCTGTCGCCTTGGTGTCAATTGCTTAACCTTACGCAACCTTCCTTGATAAACTAAAACTATAAAGTTATAATTTAATGTAATGAAGTGAGACATATTTGCCTAGATCGCTTCGAATAGAAATCTGCATACTCTTTTTAATTTCTATTAATCGATACTTACTCAAAAAATGATAAATATCCCCTTTAGTACGTAATTTTAAGATAGAAGCGTCTAAATTATACCAAAATGCCTAAGCTACTCAGCGATAACGTAACATTCTAATGGTGAAAGAATTTTTGAAAGAAGCCCAGTAGCTCTTGAGTTATTTGAATACATACAAAATACAAATGTTTTTATAATATCAGTATAGATATAGATGACAAACGTTGGCTCACTTTCTTTTATTTCAATCGCGAGTGTAACCCAAATCAGATTTAACAAAAAGTTATAAAACAGAATCAAGTAAACTTTTCAAAGCACATTATTATAGGCTTACATGTTGTATTAATGAAGCACATTTGACCTTCCGGGAAATTGCCTCAGAAAGGCGTGGGAGTAGGGGTGGAAGAGGAGGATATCAACGTCTTACCCCCTTCCTTGGCCTGAATGTGGCCAAATTGGACGAACGGAAACTGAACGCCGTCCGCGACTTGACCGGAAGTGCTCGCCCCCGCCCACGCGCCCGTCCGCCTTGTCCACTGTTTCCATGGATCTGCGTGAAAAAAATATTCAACATTTATATTTCATCCTATTACTTCTAAACTGTTAAAGAAATTGTGCAATTCTAATGTTATTTTTGTTTGTGTCAAATTTTGTAGTTTCATTTATTTAAGTACTTATTCAAATATGTATTAAATGCGAATATTCAATAGTATTATTAATAACTTCACAACCTATATATACAAAATATATCCCAAACACATGAATCGGGGATCAAATAGTTTTTGTACAATATTTATGATTATTTATATTACTATTTAGGTATGTATATGGCAAACGCAAACGAAAACTTAGTGTCAAAAGTAAAACAACACGATAGTGGATATTTCGAGTCTTTTATTGACATGTACAGTGGAAACGCGCAACCTCCCCAGTGGGGCGGCGTTACCGGGTTAAGTAACCGAGTTTACCGCGCCTTGGCGACAAGCAAGTTTATTGAGGTAGGCTCGCGCCCGTGAATATCCACCATGATTTACTGATTCGAACACATTTTGGGTGAAAATTCTAATATTTGTATTAGAAATTTGATTGAATTTTAGATGGATTTCGGTGTAAAATAACGAAAAGGAAATAAAGTTAACTTTTTATAGTTGTTCACAAATTTTATGTAGTTATTCACTTGTAAAAATGAAAAAAGACATATTTTTACTAACATTGGTAAATATTCAATACCAACGTAAACAAGCAAAATGACACATGAGCTCTTCCACCTATGACATAAATAAATTATAAGATCGTAAGTACACTCTTATCCTAACATTTATTAGGCATACGTTGGGCATCTGTACAATAAACACACACAAAGATTTTTCTCGCAATTCAAGAATTTTATTACGCTATAAATTGGGCAATGCTAACGATTTCCGAGCCGGGCCTAGTGCTTGTACGAGTACGTTGGAGTCGTAAGCGATACACAAAGATCGTTTAGACAAAGCCGAGGCGAGGTACAATGAATAAAGAGCCGTCAAATCCCACATCCATTGCCGTGCGCACGATCGCGGCAGATGCATGGCCACTGGCCGGCGGCGATACGAATGGCCTCGCCATTGTGCCCTCACCATATCTCTCAAGCCATTTACCGGACTCAAGTCGCTGTCTAATAGTTATAGCCTAGTTTATTCTACTCCACTGTATGATCTCTTTCAACAAATTTACGACACTTCTCATAGAAACAACATTAATATACCCTTCTGGCATGCGTCTATAACTTCACATTAAAATACAAATCTTTCAAAAATGATATTGCGTAACCTTGCTCTTTGCTCTTGCGAATACAATTGTTATTAAACTTAGAAGTACAAATATCTGCATTTTTTAATAACTTTTGATAATAACACAGACTAATTACTACTATGAACATAATTCAAATGAAAGAAAAACTATATTTAAACCAATGAAGTATGTTGGCACAATATTGAGCTTCAAAATGTTTTCATCAGTTACTATAGTAAAAACCTAACCTTGTCGTTATATAACAGAGCGTTGCATTCGTAGACGCTTTTAGCGCCAACGATCGACACAAAAGCGCCTCATCAAACGTCCATCTCGCTGCTTCGCCTTCGCTGCTTCTTTTTGTCGAACGAACGTCGGACGTAAAAAGAACGAGAGCGTGTGCTGACCCGATCATTAAATAGATTGATGGTACCTGGGCGCAAGGCACGGGCGATAAATAGTGGCGATTCGGGTAATCCTGCCGGCGAGGCCGGCTGCCGATGGGCGGCATCCATTCTCTTTATTGCTCCGTGCTTTATAGCAGGCCAAGCTCCCGCCTTGATGCCTACGACGTAGCGCCTAACATATTGGCTGCGTTACTACTGCTCGACTCGACTCAACTCCACACGCTACAAGCTCGAAACATTGCGCCTGCATTCACAATTCTAAGTTTATTATTTCGCGTCAATTTGGTTATTTATCTATAAGAAACGATATATAAAAAATGTTAATTCACGATAATCTACATTGCTTTTAAATATTTAAATTTCACAAAAATCTAAATCTTTTGCCTTGGCCACAATAAGATAGGGTGTCCTTACTTTCGACAGTGCAATTACGTTTTATGTATTGATATCTCAAAAAGACAGTGTAAAATTGATCAATTTAGATCCCGTGTGATTCCTAAATAATCTAAATGATAAATGACTCTCCATTACAGGTAATTAATCACTAAAACCAACTGCCCACAACATCGACATTGTATATCAAAACTCACATAAACGCTTATAATCAATTAAGGCTGGCCAACTGACACAAACTTTATCTATTTTATGGTCGCTGGCAAAAAGGTGGCGTCAGCGGCCAAAACAATGCCAAATTAGCGATGACTGTTAAAAATGACATTCGAATTGGCCGGGCCCGTAATAAATGTAGAGGGCGGCGGGCGGCGTCGACCCGGCGGCCCCTCGGTATTAATACCGCACTAAAATATACCACTTGCTTATGTATGCGCAATACATAATGTTATGTTCTTTGTTGTACACTGATTCAAATCTTATGGAAGCTGATAAAGTGATTCACACAAAGGTTTTTATAAGGTAAAGGTACAAGTTTTATTCATGATTTATATCTGCTACTGACATGTGAAATATGTGTTCAAATTAATAGACTTACATTACTCTATTGTAATGGGCTAAGAAATGTCCACAAACCGCTTGTTAAAATATGACAGTATATGTGAATGAAGACCGCATTTTAGATTACACTAGCTGTTCCCGCACGGCTTCATCCGCATGAAATTATAGAAAGTTTATTTTATTATTTATATTTGTCAAATTCACAACTGCAAATGTCAAAATTACCGTTACCATAATAACCTTGCTGTCTTAATGTTGGCAGCTTGTAGTTTATGGTCCTTTTCCCACGTGAGGGTTTTTTCAATTCATTTACCACCTGTAATATACAGCCTGAAGCGTGTCGTAAGTGTAGGGTTTTTTATGAAAGAAAAAGTAATATAAAAATATGCTGTAATTGCTGGCATCTTAAGCAACAAAGAAGTGTGTGTTTATGCTTTATTATAATAGTATAGAAGTATAGAAAAGATAATAATAATAGTAAAGTAAAAGGATATATATTTACCTAAATTAACATTAAACGCCTCGCTTTGGTGTAATCCTTAGCTACCTGATCTTTTTGTGCAAACCTCGTAACACCTCAAGAACGCCAGAACTGGCCACTTAATTAATGACCATGACACAATGGCGAGTTATTTTTTTTCTCGTTTGCACAGATAACGAAATGCAGACATCAGGACCGCGCCATCTTATGGATGTCCGCTGTCAACTCCTGTGTATTGAGGTATTATTTTTAGATTAGATTTATGTGGCTTTTATAAATTTCCGCCCATTGTTTTATAAACAATAAACAACAGTGATTACCATAGCTTTTTTAAAATTGCATAATAATATGTATTAATTTTATATGTTTTTTGTTAAAATAAATAAGAATTGTGTGAACTACATTTCACCTATTCATATCTTGTGTGGCCATATGAAATGTTAAAAATTTCCATTTATAAAAATGAAAATCAATACCATAAAGCCATTAGACAATAAGAGAAAGAAAAAAGAAAAAAAAGAATTATAGGAACAAAACCGACGGACTAACAGCGCAAAACATGCATGTGGGTATCAAACTAGCCGACATTTTTTTTGCATTTTCATAAAAATGGCGATCGCGGTCAAAACAGTCGATACGGGTGCAAGTTTCAAAAGCCAGCACTAGCATACATATTTTATAAGTTCGCTTCGATTGTTCCGCGGGCGGTTTTTTTTTCTCGCGTATCATGGCCAGTAGCCGATGCGCTATCGACACATGGCTGGAATTTTCCCTTGTTTTTTTTTAAATCCCCAACCGACAGGATTGTTTGTTAGTGGGAAATGCTCGAGAAGTAACAAGCGTAGTATTGACACTTATGGTCTCATAATATTGTATTTCTTGTTAATTTATAGAAGCATAATAAATAAAATTACCCAAACCATTTTCTTTCTAAATGTTTTCCACTGAAATTTTTTCTACAGAGTGTAATAGTTTTCTTTATGCTAATTTAAGGTAAAAACTGATTTCTAGTAAAAAATGCTTACATTAGTATTATTAAAAGAAACTAAAATTAAATAAAAAGCATTTAGTTATGCTATCACATTTTACATAGAAAAGACCATTACTCAAAATGAAACACGAGCCTGCATGAAAAGTTTGAGATAACGTTTGCCAAGAAAAATTATGTTCGCCGTAATATCCGCATAGAACATACCTTTATCCCGACATTCGTGTACTAACATTTTCGTTTTTTATTATGTTTTATTCACTTTAAAACTATCGTAATACTATCAGAGATCTACATTCAACAGTACACCTCATTAATCTTACTTCTTTCTTAACATTATAAATGCGAATGTTTAGATGGATGAATTTGCCTAGAGTTTGCCACCTAAACGGCTGAATAGATCTCGATGAAATTCAGCATAGATGAAGAACATATTCTGAAAGAACACGTAGGTTTCCTGCGTTTGTTTTTTTTTATTCTCGGACGGAGTCGCGGGCGAAAGCTTCTTATTACATAAGACAGATATTAATGTTCTTAAGTAAGAGATCCAGCTGAATATAAATAATTATAGTGTAGTCTCATTTTTACTAATAAATAAAAAGTTAAAACCTTCTCAATGTTTTTATATCTTTTTTTCATCATTTACCTGTGTGAATAAAGTGAGAAGTGCATAAAAAACTTCAACAGTAATTTGGAAAAAAAAGTATTGAATATCGATGTTGAGATATCGCCGGGAGCCATCGATTCCGGATAGACGTGCGCCGGAAGCTCTTCCTTCTCATACTGCATTCATACGTCGAACAAAAGAGCACAGTCGCATGACAAATTCGACAGCGTCGATTGTCGAACGACAGCAGAATAACCCACCGCTTTGTATCGCCAGCGTTTGATGAAATTTATTAACACGTTATCTCGCATTCCGTACGCTGGAAGGAAGTTTTTACGAGTGTTTACTTTAGGTGTCGCACAAAGACTAAATCCGTGCATTGTTACAGCCGCGATACGCGATTGCAAGCGAGATATTAAAAGCACGTGTGGCCAAACAAAGGTTGCGTTATGCGGCGGATTATTTGCCAATTTATGGCGCTTTTTGTGAACTCCGTTGAAAACGCGCTCCGGAAATTTGGCTCCATTTCAACAAATGATCTTTTAACTATAAATACGCGTAATTTATTCGAAACGACAACAAAAAAAAGAAGTGGTGAAATACGACGATTACCTAACGAGAGCGCTCCTGGGAGTCATTTTTGAAAATTCATTCGAATTTAAACATATTTTGTTCACTGTATTGCATATGTTTTCAACGCTAAAATCATTTGAATTATTTCAATGTAATAGAGAACGTTGATGAACGTACTGCCTTTTGAACAAAAACATAGCTGGATATTTTAAAAAAGAAATGTCGCGTGCATTGTCAATACGCGAACACACATTTTCCATTTTAACGCATCACCGAAATGTTACGTTATTTAAACTGTAGGTACTTATATTTTAAGCTAGCTGTTCCCGCTCGGCTTCGTCCGCATGAATTTACATAACACTAAGTACAAATTTCGCAATAATTTTAATAAATTTACTTACCAATAACTAAACTGGAGCTCTGCACAATACTTTCCCTCGTAGGATATTATTTCTTCCATTTGTATGCATATATCGTTAGTGTTCCACTATGGTTCTTCAGAGATTCTTCTGTTTTTATAATATTTTTTTTAGATCTAGAAAAAAATACACATTGTTAACCTTGCGGCTGACTATTATTTGTTTTAAAAAAAATTAGGCTAGGAGAATTGAATGTTTTTTCTGACATTACAGGTGTTAGATTAAATTTTACTTTTCTAATGTTTTTCTTTAGTAAATCACAACTAGACAAACTTAGTTTTACAGCGCAAAAAGTGAATAAACAATTGCTTAAAAAACTACTCCATTCTGTCACTGGACTTCTATTTGATTACTCCATACAACATTTTTATTTTACGGACTAACAAAATGTTTTAAAGAATTTAATACATCTTACATACAATATACATCATCATCCACTTGCCCTTATCCCTTATGGAGGGTCGGCACAGTATGTGCTGCTCTTCCATACATCTCTATCAGCCGTCATATCTGAATCCACTCCTTTCTTAAGCATATCTTCCTTCACACAATCCATCCATACTTTCTTCGGTCTTCCTCTTCCTTTGTAGCCATCCACTTTCAATCTCAACACTTTCTGGTTTATGTCCCCATCATTTCGTCGCATAATATGTCCATACCACGCTAACCTTTTGCTTCTCAATTTCTCCACCACTGGCGCTACTTTCAAACTTCCTCTAATGTACACATTCTTAACTTTATCCAATCTTGTCACACCACACATCCATCTTAACATACGCATCTCAGCCACATGCAATCTCCTTTCATCCGCAACTTTGGTGGCCCAGCATTCAGATCCAGATACAATATACATCAATGTACTCTAAATTTATGTGATTTACCTTATTTACTTGTAGAAGTATTCGATGCTATAGTGTATTACAGGTTATATCAGTCTTGAATACACTTCACTATAACAAAACTGCGCATTTATTGACTAACTTTGAGGTTAGGTTCATCTACATTGTCACTTAATCTATTAGCTGGATGCGTCACATGATTTGCACGTTTTTACTCTTTCATACATGTTATCATCTGCAATTCAATATAAACTATTAACTACAATAACTTTATTAAGGAATATCGCATAATAAACTTTTACATACATGCACAGTTACGTCTGCCACAAATTTATAACGTCTAATAAATCAAAAAGAATGGGTTATCCAGCAATGATTTAAATTGTAAGATTAAATTAGCAATTACCGTTTTATTTACAATAAATGAAGGTATTTCACTTCGCATCGCATTTGTATTTAAATTTGACAACCTTTAAATTCTTGTGCAAGATTGCCATAGATTAAAAAAGTATGAAATATTTCCTATTTGCCGTCATAAAAACGTTGACGGATGTTATAATAGATTTATTGGGAGTGATATTGATTGAGTACGATTAGAATCGATTTTTTTAACAGGAGTGAATTGTCTATGTCTCCCTGACGGAACATCAAACGGGCATCTTGCGAGGCAAAATACTATGGTATTTTATGCTCTATGAAGCATCATTAAAGTTGCACGTTGTCTACGGATCGCCGATATAATTTAAATCGGTTTTAATCATTGCTAAAAAGCGACTGATTATTAGATAATCTATTGTGATAGATTAAGGTGTTAGTAAATGAGTGTGATACGGGCTTATTACTGGAATTATATCACTGCATACACACGCCCTATGGATTTATCTGATGACTGTAAAGAGATAACCCCCACAGACTATCATTATTACGGACCAAGATGAGGTAAAAAAAGAATTGAAAACTTAATTTATCACATCTACTTATCAAAAAAACCATTAAATTATTGTTTCAGTAATGATTCTATTTCAATAAATTTGCCAAAATTACTGGTAATACGACCCTAGCTCGCATATTACTTCGGATAGCCATTAAAGGTGATAAAATTTTACGATCGGGCGATTCTTTCTGAGTTAACCCGCCAGCGTAGCCGCCTACCGTTCCTCTAAACTCTAATGTGACACGGTTTAATGTGTCTTGCCCCATCCTATACGACTACTGCAAGCCAGCGGTATAACGGATGGTATACATGCAGCTTTTATTAATTAATGATTAGTTTTGTATTATGTGTTGCTTTCTGTACGGATATTTACCATGTTTTATGCTACATTATTTCTCGTAAACTCATTGTTTTTCCTAAAAAAAAAAAATAACATTTTCATCTAATTAAACCTCAAATTAACTCCACTAGATGCAATGTTCACATTTAGTTTATTTTTTTAAATTAACCAGTTAAAATTTCGTCGTGTAAACCAACACTTATTTTCCACTTCGTCACACTAATTTTGGACTGCATTTAGTCGGCGATTATTTCCGATATCGCTGTAGCTATGCATTAAATTACCTCTTGCTCAGACATTCATCGGAATAGTCAACCATTTAAATGCAGTAAACTCTGAATATACACAAAAATAGTTCGGCGGTCTGAACAAGGGCGGGGACGTCCGTCTATGCTTCCATAGCACATAAAAATAAACGGTTATGTTCTCTGATTAGAGTCGGCTACCCTTTAATGTTCTAAAATGTGTTATTTATAAATAACAAAAGAACACCGCATTTATTAATAAGCAGATACTTTTAACTTTTACCCGCAACTTATTGTGAGCGGGATTTTATTTTTTTATTTATTTATAAGTAGCTTAATTTTAATACAAAAATATAAAATTTCGCCAAACTGCCAAAGCAGTTTGTTGGCGAAAACTGCACCCATAAACTAAATACTTTTAATACATGAACTTTTTCTTTTAAAATTTAATTTAAACTTATTACTTTTAAAATAACTTTGTTAGTAGTCTGTTCCACGTTTATGCCAAACATCGAAATATGTTAGAATCCATATAGTATTATAAATGTGAAATATTTTTTTTATTTCCGATGGATGGATGGAGGTTTGTTAGAGTTTGTAGCCTAAACGGCGTAACGGATCTGGATGAAAAAAAACATAGATCCAAAGCATAGTCTGGAAGAATACAAAGGATACTTGCCTTTATTTTTATTTAATTCCACGCGGACGAAGCCGCGGGCGAAAGCTAGTTATTAAAAAAAAATTACAAATTATTTTAACGTATTAATTCTGTTTCACTTGAAATAGATTATTCCAACAAAATTCTACTTTTACATAAAAGTTAACTTATACAGAGTTTAAAAAAAAAAACATTGCACCGACGATACGTTATCTTTATTACATTTCGTTGTATAAAAGGTACTTAGTACGTATATATCTAGTGACATCTCAATCGACAGGTTTACTGGGAAAGTTGAAAAAACGTCGTCAGTCGGCGCACCCCCCGCTGTATGCCTTTTGCGGTTGCAAATGTATCGGAGATGCACCAATAATGAAAAAAAAGCGAAGAAATAAAGTGCTCTTCAGTAATGCCGTTCCGGAAGGTAAGGATCCCGCTGGGTATGAATTTATTACACCTCTCTGTCACTGAATTGATATTTCAATTAGGATAGTCTAATTTTTTTGGATTAAAATGACTAGATCTATGTTTGTATAAAGTATTCCGTAATGTTAGTTACTTGATGAGATGAATTTCAAAATCTTTTCAATCGACTTAGACAACAAGAATATTTCTTCAATTCTTACGTTAAGAAATCATAAATATTGGCGAATAGTTTTTAACGGTAACTTATCGTACAATGAATACTAAGACATATTCTTCGTCTACATTTATTTAAAAAGTTCAGTTATAAATTGTCATTTGTTTTTAAAAAAGTAAATAAACAATACAGTTTAATGGTTATTGCAAACAGTTAGGCAAAAATTCGCAAACAGTTAAAAAGAAAACAATACATTTTTGGGCGTAAAACATCGATTTCGCCATTTTTTTTCTCAACCCTAACAATTATGAAAGGGTAGTAAAAGAAAGTCGGCAATAAAACTAAACCTTTCGGCGGCAAACGCGCCGCCATCGAAGGGTTACTATTTATTCGTATAAACCGACCGATACAAAATTGCAATGTTAACTACAGGAGCGGTGTAATTCTGCAACCATTCGAAAACGGTCGAACAAAGTTGACTTTTCAACGGGCGTTCCATCTCGCTGCAGTTGTAAACGGCATCGGCAAAAAACTCGCAACTCACATTCAAAGCGGCCTCATAAAGTAATTTGCACAAATTCGCAAAAGGGTGAAATACCAACGGACTCTCCAACTTTTTCAAAACCCCGTTATGTATTGAAAAGTTAAAAAAACATGTTTCGTACACCATAAAACCTTTGTTTTAGTGCACTATTCAAATAATAGTGACACGAAAATTAAAAAGATAACAAATTTCGTATCGATATTTAACGTCGTAAATAATAATCGATAATTTCAATATTGTATGGAGCAAAAATCTTGTAAGTACATCTATAAAAAATTTAAACATCAATTGAAATCAAAATTTTCACAAAAGTCTTAACAATATCGCAATAGATTTTTTAGACTTGAAAAGTCATTGAAAAATGACGAAATTTTCACGATTTTCTAATGTTCCTAATACTGCGTAATTCCCACCGCTACGTATTGAATTAATTTAGCAAACCCTTCCAATGGTCCAAATGAAGGACTTGGTCGTATTTGATCCGACATAATTAGGGGACGGTTAGCTACCGTCCTGAAAAAGAAATAAACCGTTTTATAACTCAGACTTCCTTAACCCCACGTAAAGCCGCCCATAAAACTCATAGGAAGATCGGATCGGCGATATGGGGCGGAAATAAATCGCCATTTAAAATCAATTTGTGTAAAGGCTGTTCCGAAAAGTAGTTCGGTGACGCGGGTCAGCGCGTGAATAGCCCTCCCTTACGTACAACTTCGACTCGCTTCATTTCTCCCCGTTCTCTTTAACCATACCAAGGCCATACACAGAATCTGTTTAGACTAACTTTCGCTTGCGACTCCGTCCGCGTGAGATTTATAAAAAATTAAGTAGACAATGTGTTCTTCTAGACTATCCAATCTATGCCCAATATCCTCAAGATCCGTTCAGCAGTTTAGGCTAACTCTAACAAACATCCACAATATTAGTAAGCTTATCTCCTATATATTTGTACCAGTCAGCTTTATTTCCTCTGAAACATTTAATTACAGACAGAGTCAACCATAAGTATACGAGTACATAGAAGCTTCCGAAGTAACATTTAGAATTAAAATATATATTAGGTTTCGAAAAACAATAATTCAATAGTTAATTTACTCATAAGTATCATTATTAATAACTACGATTTTTTTTTAATTTTACTTATTTGCCCAATTAACAGAAGCTTCAAATTCTATAAGTCGAAATCTGTTGTAACAGTCTCGTGGCCAGACACCGCATGCTATACTTTGATCTTATCTTACCCAAAGCATCCTAAACAGATAAGAAAGTTGCGCATGCGCCGATATATCTTGTGCAACTGTCAGCGTAACGTTTAAAACCGGATGACATTAATGTGGTAGAAGGAAAAGCTAAAATCATTTAAAAAAAACTTTCTGCATCATAGCGGTTTAGTATTTTTTTCAATTTAATAAATTATCAATTTTCTTGGATAGCGAATATTGTGATAACTTTCCTTTCCTTATGTAAGTAATAAAAAATAAACTTTATAGATCCTATAGTGTGCAAAGATAGGCAGTATTTATTAATCGGAAAGGTTACATTATCTGAACATTGTCAAAGTTAAGATCATTGCTAATCTAATATTAAAAGAAAATTGGTGTCAACAAAAATTCTTCCAATCCAAAAGGAACTCTAAAAGCTCCAATAAAGCACACGTCGCGTTTATTCGGGATATCGGAAGGTGAACTTAAAGGGGTTACGGGGCTTAAGCGAGCAGAGTCGGGCGGCGCGCCGCGTATTGGGGCTTACCCGTGATTTACTCGTTACGTCGTCTCGCGGCCCGCGCGAACCTTCCCTTGTTCTTTTTTGTTTACTGAACGGATCACGGGTTACCCTTTATTGGGCAAAGTCGGGGAAGCGATATTCCGCGACATAAAGTCGCTACAAAATTATCTGCGGCATAAGATTTTACTTGGAGGAAGTGAACTTTGATCTCGATTTATTTTTTATTTTTGTCATAGACTACGCTTATTTACTCTATAGTGTTGTATCAAGTTACTTACTTCACAGTTACTACGTATTAGGAATTCTCAAAAATTCTATAAAGAATCCATGAAACATTTATGTACATCATCAACTTGTCTTTGACTCTATGAAGGTTCGGATAAGTACCTATGTGCTGATCTTCCATACATCTCTATCAGCTGTCATATC